TAAGGCTATTTAGGGTTTAATTTTAGTAAATTAAATTCAATAAAGTAAGGAGGACGACATTAATATGTGTCCTAAACCCAAGTTATATTGCTCCTTCCTTATATCTCCATTTTTGAAGTGATACATTCATGCATTATGATCAGTACTTTTTTTTTTTTTTTTTTTTTTTTAATGTTTTCCAGATTGGAATGAATGCCACATGTCACAAGATGCACGTGTATCTTCTCTGGCCTGAATATTGGCAAAAAAAAAAAAAAATCACTTGACTGCTGTTAAGTTTTTCATCCTCAGTGTCAATATGTCAAGGCAATCGTTTTTGTAGGGTGGGGGAACTTACGCCACACTGAATTTAATTTAGTGTATTTATTTGTAGTTGGAACTTTTTATTTTTTTTATTTTTATTTTTTTCCAAAAAAATTGTATTTCTCTTATCAGTTTAACCTCCCCCCACCCCTACATTTTCTTATAAAAGGAAGAAAAGAAAACTATATTTTATTTTAGAATTCATTACAGAATAAAATCCAAATACTGAACCTCGTTTATGCATAGGCACTTTTAAATTGCCTATAATATATAATTAATATTATTATTCAGCAAGAAGAAAATTAGGATATCCTATTTTCTGGATTCCGTGGCAAATCCTATTATTGAATTACTTTCTCTTGAAAGTGTGTCTGTTTTCTAAATAGCGTCGTTCTTGCTCTATGTATTTTTATAATCTGTTCCAAGGGAACAAAACTATAGTTTGCATCTTAAATTTCATGTTTAGGATGTCAGTACAGTCGAGGTTACAACAATAATCTTCTTTGTACTAGTGATATTAAGTTACACATATTAGAGATAAAAAAAATAAACAAATACATTTGACTCTCTATATTTCTGAGATGAGGTATTGTAATTATTTACATTGTTTGGACTGTTGCAATAATGATGAGGACAACAGTAAATAATGTAAATACATTTGACATATAGCAAGATGTATTAAGTGAAATCTGTCAAAACTGAAATTGTGGACTAGTACTCAGTGAAGATTGAACTTGGAACTCTTAGGATAATTAATGGTCAGCAAGTAATTTTTACTCACCACAGCTCAAAAAACAATAATAATGATATGACACACAGATTTGATAAGAAGGAAATTGCAACCATATCGTCTCAAAAGGATAGTTACTGTTGGTAAAATACAAAAAAATCCACACTAAATTGTGTGTGTATGTGTGCCTGTCCATGTAGATATATGGGCACAAGGCTGAGTGGTTAGAATGTTTGCTTCCAGACCATGTGATTCAAGTCTGAATTTCACCATGATCGATTTGTTAGTAAGGTGTTATTGATCTGGGGAGGTAATGACAGCATGCAGCACCTTTTGGAAATTGCTTTGTGAGTGAAATTGAGTAGATGGAATTGTTTAAAAGCTGTAGATGGTTGTGCTAGCACAAAGTCACAAGTCATCATGACTGAGGGTTTCAGTGTACTGGCCTTGTTCAAAATGTTGATCATGTGACATTGTGCACCCTCTCTTCAGAAACTAACTAAGATCTGCTCAGCTTTGTTACAGTATAAACCATAAATGGTCTCTGTGGGTGTTGAACAAACACATGTGCCTGATCTGTCTGCAACAGGGATTGGCTAGCCTACAGGTGTGCTTGGAAAACAAAAGTAGCTGGGCATATATATATATATATATATATATATAGCAATGCTAGCATACTAAAAAAAAAAATGCTCTCCAAAGCAGTTCCATTTAGCATAGCGTACACCTGGGGGTGGGGCTGGGAAAGGCCATGCCTTTCTTAAGCCTATTCATGCAAAGTAAACATAATCAGCCTTAGTCAGAAAATTGAACTAGCTGACCAAGTTAGGCTTTCTCTCTCACATACACAATATATGTGTGTAAGCCGAGTTCGAATTTCAGTTGAATCCATTACATTCAGTTGCATGCTAATACCCTTGGGAAAGGTATTAATCCTCTTCTTCTCCCTCCAGCTATAGGTAAATAGCAGGACAGACTGGGTTCTATAGCCTTGGATGGAATTCAAAACCTGCAGAGGGTCATTTGGGGGACCTTGTTGCACATAGTGCAGCAAGTCTCTGTAAAAGTGTAGTTGGTTCTGCACAAAGCCTTCACCACTATAATCAAAATCATATATGCTAGTGCCTGGTTGTTGGTTCCTAGAAGCTGAGCTGCTTGACCCTCATACGTCAAATACAACGGGAGAGTCCACTATATATATATATATATATATATATATATATATATATACACACACAAACACACACACAAGTATAGGATTGGTGTATACAGAATAAATTCCAATAACCAACAATTACTATTCTTAAAAGAGTGCTCAATACAGAGTAGAGCGAATATAATTATTTTTTTCGAAAATTATAACATAAATATGTAATAAAATCACTACAAAAATAGCCATTTTGTTCCAACACATTTGGTGTCTGATCAAGTGATGATGTTGAATGTAGAATAAAGAGTTTTAAAAGGTTAAAAAGGAAAAGAGATGAAATTTTCATTAATGCACGTGTTGACGACCTGTCTCTATGAACTGCTTGTCTGATACTTGACATTCTCACTGTTAAGTGTTTGTGTGTGTGTGTGTGTGTGTAGATAAGAAAAGTGGGGTCAATTCTCATTAGTTTAGATTGAGTAAATTAATGATAATTATAATTGTTATAAGTAAATTATTACATCAACCAAACACCCCTTTATAGGGGAAACGATGTTACATAAGCTGCAATGACCAATCAAAATACAAGTAAATGAGAATTCAAAAAACTTGACAATGAACCTTGGTTATAATAATTAATGCTTTGATATTATGGTTAGACTAAAATAGAAATCACTATTTTTGTAGTGATTTTATAACATATTTATGTTATAATTTTTGAAAAAATAATTGTGTGTAGTAAAAAAAAAATTTTTTTTTATTAATAAATTCACACGTTCTTGGCTTAAATAGAAATTTAGGTACACTCAATAAATAGTTTCCATAAAAAGTCACCTACAAACCCTCTACAACCCTAATTGTGGCAAATCGGTAGACCAAAACAACTAGATTCCATCAGTAATATAACATGTGTGAAAGAAATCCCTAGAAAAAGTACAACTTCATTTCATTTCTTATTGAGAAAGGACATGAGCACATCAGAAAATTCTGATTAACATCGTTTCTCATCATGCTTTTATTTGGTCTAAAGACATGTATTTGTATGTATTTATGTGTGTTGTCTTAACTGTAAGAAATTAAGACTGCAAAATCTGACAATAACCTTGTAGCACAAAAGTATTTGCTTACATCTTTTGTTTTACTGTAGTTTATTATATCACAGCTTCACCTTCTAAAGATGTAATATTTGCCAATTAAAAGTAAATTGCTAGTGATGTATGGAATGTCTTAAAAATTGTAACCTGTGTTCAGTTTCCAACTTGTCTTTGATATGGTAGGGTTGAAATAAAACTACTTTCTGCAGAAATAAATGAAAATGTATTTTTGCTATTCATTCATTTATTTATTTTTAAATTAAATTTCTTTCTTTTGATTTTGTTGCTGTATAATCACCATCCGTAATTGATTTGGATGAAATGGATATCTTCATTCTTTTGTTAATGGCTTTTTCATTAATATTTGTGTCTTCGAGATTGAGTTTATGAAGACAATTGATACAATGCTGTGGGTTTATCCGGGAATAATGAACCCTCGAATTTAATTGCCACATAATGGGCTTGAGGAGAAAAATAATAAAAAAAAAACAAAAAAACTCTTTGACCTTAGTTCTAAGTGCAAATAAAATTTTAGGTTTCTCCTAACCTTTTTTTTTTTTTTTTTTTTTTTTTTTGCCTAAAATTACTATTTTGTTTATAATTTTTATATATGCTTTATTTTTCTTGATTGTAATTTAAGAGTTTTTTATTTTATTTTTTCTAACCATTTTATATTATAATTTAACTAATTTATCCTTAAAAATTATCTTTTACTTTTTAACTTTTCTTTTAGTTTGCTTCATGTTGCTGTAAATTTATTTTCATTGTAAATTTCAGTTCATACAAGCTTTCCATAATTAAATTGTCAAGCATGTCAAAAGCAATTGTCTTTAATAAAATTTTAGAATTTTTTCTTTTTAATGTCACATTCATTTCATTTTATATATATATATATATAATTTTTTCTTCTGGGTTCTATACAGAAATTTATCAGTGCAAATTATCTTTGCATTCATCTCTACTTCATTAAATCTTTGTATCCTCACATGATGGTGCATCTTTTGTCTTTAATAAGATTTCTCAAATATTCAGGCCGGTAGATGAAAATAAATAAATAAATACTGTTTAATAAATAAAGAGAGCATCTACTCAAATATGGATATCCACTAAAAATAACGTTTAAAGTGATAAAATTGAACTGATTTCAAATAAATAGTGGAATTAATCATGAGAAGTAAACTTCTAGCATATAAGATTTTATATATATATATATATATATATATATATATACACACACAAACACTTCAAGTTTGCTCTCCTGAGCAAAATAATTATATTATCTCCCTGAGATAATTGTATTACCTGAATGGATTCTTTATTAATTTTGTTGTTTCATATTTTTCTTAGGATCTAAAACGAAAATAAATGGCATAAAAGAATTGCTTGTTTAAAAATCTGTTTCTCTGTCATAATTTAGTGTGTAAAGGCAAAAGAATGTTTCATAGATTTCATCTTCATAGATTTTTCTTATAACAACATATAGGTTAGATAGTGTATTTCATTGCAATTGCAATGCTATCATGATTTTGATATGGGCTTGTTAATTTTCCAACTGTTATTATTGCTTAACAGAATTGCTCTCAGTAATGGAAATAACAGCTTTTGGCTATAAATTCTTGGGAATCGGCACCTAGCTGTGATTGAGAGGCACTCTGCAGATTGGAAGCTTTGGGGAATTCGTTAGCACCTAATGTGCATGCAGGCCTGGAATTCACTGCTAAAGATGTCTGCAGCTCCCTCCCACTTCAACTGTCTCCCACCCACCCATTCATACTTCATGCTGCCAACTCTTATTGTAGCCTGTAACAAATTTCTTGAAATTAACTGAAAATAAATTGAAATGGAAAATATTTTATTTTGGATGGGTTTAAAAATCTCACAAATGTAAGGAAATAGAATTTTAAAGTAAATGTTTTACTATAAATTGGCTGTTTATTTGCTTGGATGGGAGTTAAAAATTGTCTCGGCTTAGATTTATCTAAAGGCAAATCTTTATTATTATTATTGGATGCTTCTAAAAACATTAACCAGACCCTATTTTTAAAGTAGGAATTTATTAAACTTATGTCTTGTGCAAGTGCAACAATCAATAAAAGACAGAACTCCATAACAATAGCTTGTAAGATCAGATTACCACTGGTATTTTTATAAAGTTAACTTTTTAATATATATATATATATATATATATATATATATATATATATATATATATATATAAATAAAATGTGTGTGTACTAGGATTTGTGGGCAGTGTAATGGATATGTGCTCAGAAAGGGGAATTAGAGAGTAATGTTCAAATTCTGATTTAGTCTGTTGTGTTCACTTTCACACAAATGTCCTTGGCAAAAGTAGGAATTGGCCTTTTCTCTCCCTAACTATGGGTTAAATAGCAAAGTAGATTGTGTTCTCTAGCCTTGTGTGGCAACTAGTCTAAAAAAAACTCTGAATCCCAAACTGACAAGACAACATGATCCAATATCTTTCTCAAGAATACATAGCAGGTCACAGATAATAAAGGTATCTGAAGAATCCTGATCACCTGCGTCCTGGAGAGATATGGCATAAAAAAAATGCATGCATTAGGATTTTTTATTTTTATTTACTTCTGTTGCATAAAGTTGTGTGTATTGACTTAATGTTTTTGCCGTTTTTACTCTTGAAAGCCACCAACTCTAACAACACTAGTTTTAAAATGAGACTTACTAAACTGCTCTTTGTATTAAAAGGTAATGGCCAGGTGCAAAGGAATTGAGGTTGCTCACCTTTTAACTCTTTCTTGTATTTGCTGTTGTGTAGCCGAATAAGTCTTTAGCCCTTTCCACAGAAACACTTGCTCAACTATATTTAAGTTGTCAATCTCCATACTATTCACTCAAGACTATTTTGTAATTGTATTCTGTGTTGACTCATTTTTGGTTGCTATTAGTTGATGTGTTAAGTGCAAGTTAAATCCAAGTGCACTCGGGGTTGGAATAGGGTAGGATAAGATAGTGAATGTGAGAGAGAAAGAGAAAATAATAAAGTTAATAGGGAGAAAAGTAGTAAGGAAATGATTAGATAAGTTTAAAAAAGAAATGATTAAGAGTAGAAAACTAGAATTAAGATAACAAACAAAATGCTAAGTGACTTAAAAAACTGGCCAAGCAAAAAAAAAAAAAAAAAAAATCTCAACAATTTTGCCTTTTCCAATTTCTGTCATCTGTGCACTTGTATCATTTTCCATGCTTCTTATTTGTCATCTCTTGTAGAAGCCAGTGGTTTCCTTCAAATCCCTATATTTTGTGTTTGTTCTATTCCTAGAGAGGAGGAGGAGGGTCACTTTGTGGGTCTTTTCTTCATATTGTCCAAATAATGTTTCTTCTTGCCATTTTATTTTTTTAATGCCCATTTCCTGTGTGTCCAGGAAAGATCTTGCCAGTCAGGCTGAGAGTGGAAGTTATAGAGAATTGGGGATGGGGACAAAATCTGTGTCAATATCTTCCTTCTAACCAATAACCGATAATAATCAAGCAGTTTATGTAATAATGTGCTATCGATCTCTATAGAAAATGTCCAGCGCCTATTTGAGTTGGTTTTTCTGTATCTCTTTAAGGCAAGCTGGTTGGTTGCCAAAACCTTGCCTACCTGAAAAGACTTTGAACACACTGTCTTTATCAGAAAGTTCATCATCTCATTTTGACATGATCGTCTTGTTTCTGTCACCCTTGTAGCTTTTCTGTCTTTCAGGCTGAATTATTATCATGTGATCAATCAATTGATCAAGATAAGCTTCTGCTTGATTTTTATTATAAAATAATATCTAGTATCACCTGAAGCCTCATAGGAGACTGGGACACTTTCAATAACCTGCTGACATTAGATATTGTTTATTCTGTGATCTTTCAAAGAGCAATACTTAACAATGTTATAAGCATCACATTTCATATAAACAATCACTGCTTAGGTATTTTATTTCTATACTAGCATAGTACCTGTCAAAAATAAGATTATTTATGGATGAGTCCTTCTGTCAAAGATTCAAGTATTTTTGTATTGTAGGCTGTTTATCTGATGTTATAAATAACAAAAATACATATGTTGATAACATAAATTATTGTATATTTATTGTGTCACTGGATTACATTAAACGACTTAATGGTGGAGAATTTCTCAAACAGTTTGATCTCATTTATACAGAACTTTCTTTTGTTACTTTTTTTTTTTTTTTTTTTTTTTTTAATGTGATAGACAGTTTGCTATAAAAAAAAAATTGTAAGCAGTAGACAAATAGACTAGTGAAAGATTTTTTAATTTTAATTTTTAATGAATTTATACAAAAATATGTATTTTTACTTAGATTGTATCATTTTAAGTGTTTTTCCTTTTTTCTCTGTTATTCCTGACTATTGAAACTTCTTTAACAGTAGCGATTTTTTTTTTTTTTTTTTTTTAAATACCTGTGTATACATGGCCTTTTTTATTAACAGGCCTCTTCATCCTGAATGATAGAGAAGAGAGACTTTCAGAAGAAGACAAGTCTTTTGTGCTGAAATTAATCTATACTTTAAAGCACGCTTAAAAAAAAAAAACCAAAAAAAAAACACATTTCTCAAACTTTTTCTCCTTTCATAATGGAAAAAATCAAAAGGCCAACTACTTTCGTTATCATTTTATTTTTTATTTTCAAATTCCTGTCTTGTTAAAGGAATCGAATATGTGTAAAACTGTAAATGTTTGTAACTGGGCTTGTATTTATAAATGTTATGACTGTATAAGTGTGTGTGTGTGTGTGTGTGTGTACACACAATTTTAAAGCTGCTTTATCTTTTTATTTAATCATTTTGTTTTGTCATTTCTAGAACTGAACGTTGTTTGAAAAAAAAAAAATGTTAAGACCAGAACAAATTGCAGCATTTGTTATGAAGCTCTATTGACAATAAGTGTCTCCATGCGATGTATGCGTTATTTTTAAATGTGACACTCCTCTATTGTAATTCTTTATTTGAAGACATAATACTTACCTAGGCACTTACCTACCTCATCTATTTGCATTTTTTTTCATTTATCTGCCATTTTTCTTTCTATATCTATATACTACAATCACACACACACACACACACACACACACACACACACATATATATATATATATATATATATAGTGTGTGTGTGGAAGAGGAGATGTTTCATGTATGCTTGGTTGGATAGGTAATAGCATTTTATAATGATATATATCTTTTATAATAATGTCTACCTGGATATTAATATCTCTGTTCATATGTTTGAATGCTTTTTATTATGTGCACCCACATAAACACACCTTTCTATAACTTGTCATATGTTTTAGCCTTTGGCATTATTTATTCTTTACTTTGAAATCAATTACATTTCAATTCATATGTTGAGGAGGTGGAGGCTCTCTCTCTCTCATATATATATATATATATAATTTGACACTTTCATTTCAGTTGCTATCTATTTATCAAGTTACAGTTGAATTGTCTTTTCTGCTTGTTCATAATCAGCTATGGTCTATTATTTAACAAGTGCTCTTTAAGTGGTTGTCTTCTGAATTGATTATTATGTAATAGAGATCTGTTTTGAAAAGTAAGAGAATTGTGATTGAAGAATTTAATTAAAGAATTGAAAAAGATAGGAAAGATCTTTAAATTGGATTCTATTCTATTTTGCATCGCATTTTCAGGGATCAGTTTGTTCTCTTGTCATTTCATTTTGCAAGGGAAGCTGTAAGCAAAAAAAGAAAATTATGTAATTAAATTTTCTGTTTTCAATAGCAGAATTAAATTATTGAAAGTGTTTAACAAAAGATCTATTTTTACAAAACTTTTTCGGAATAAAACTAATGGTTTACTTGGAGAATTGCTTAATTATACTTACCTGTGTAAACAAGAGAAAATGATAGGTCAGATAAATCAATAAACTAAGTCAATTCTGGCATGGGGCCACTTGATTGGAGCACCACATGTAGTCCAGATCAGCTATAAATGATTTATAGATTATATATACTTTGTATTTAGTTCTGGGTGTTTGCTTATGCATTTTGTTTCTTATTTATATGCCAATAATAAACTAGATTCATATTCTTTTGGGAGTAGACAAGTCAGTCTCTGGACCTAGTAAAGGAAATTAGTTGCCACTAGGTTTAGTAATGAAGAATGGTAAATGAAAGGAGGACCTTGTTTTATTTCTTTTTAGCCTTTCTCACTCTATGACTTCATTTACTGTACAAAACCTTTATCCTGCCACTGAAGGTGACTCTGATCCCTGAACAATAGCATGTTTGAATTTCATAGTTGTGTAGTCATATCCTGCCATGGAAACAACTTTGAGTGAAATTAACAGTAAGGATACTGCAATTGAGAGGTCTTGAAAAAGGATGCAGTAGAAAGAGAAGTAATATTAATAATGCAATGTGCTAAAGGTTAATAATATTATTACTGCTGCTGCTTCACTCAACTCTTATGTCAGTTTAAAAGTAAAGTGAAATGATCATTTATATTCCTGATTAATGGAATCTGGTAGTGATATTTTTGCGGTTAGCAATTTTGACTGAAAACTCTGAGGACATCATACCCCCACCTCCAACCTCACCTTGCCTTTACACCATCTCATGACTAATACAGATTTGACTGCATCAGTAAATCATTTGTATATTTCTGCAGCCAATAGGATCAAAGGCATCTGCAGGGAAAGAATAAATTATAAACAACATGACTTTCTCAACAATATATGGTAACCATCAGATAGGAAAGATATTTCTTTCTTTAGCCGGAAATTGTATGATACGCAATGAATGGATTTTTTTTTTTTTTTTTTTTTTTTTTTTTTTACCAAGTATTTTATTTGTATTTTTAGTGCTTGTTGTTTTTCCCTGGCATTCATTTCTAACTGAAGAGTGTGCTTTGCACATTCAATTTTCTCATCATTCTTTTATTAGTGACACCAACTTAAAAAAAAAAAAAATAATAATACTAGCTTTAAATCATTACAAGAAATACATATGAAGATACATAGTATATGTACGTGTGTTTTGATTTATTCTTTATACACCTTGTATATTGTCTTGAAGATTGACTTTTGTACTAATAGTATGTGAGTAGTTTTGATCACCATCTTCATAATGTACTCAGTATCCGAATTAGGTGCAGAATAACAGTGATTCTTAAATTACCAAGCCCAACTTAGTGTGTGTGTGTCTTAGAGAAAAAAAGAAATAGATGACTACAATGGTGTTAAAAGGCAGGCCTGTAATCTTTGCTGTCTTAATTCTGTCCTGGGCTCAAGACTCTTTTATGTAACTTAATATATGAGAGCTTTGGGGTCAAAGGACTTTTGTGGTATTTCTATTTGCAGGAAGATATTTATTAGTTTCTCCTCCCCTGGAAAATATTGACTCAGACGCCTTCTATACAGACAGGGCAGCCATGGTTGGCGGTAGGACGAATGGTGGTGGGGTCTGTAGCGGAAGGGGGGAATAGCTAAATGGAGTGAGTGTGCAACTCTTAATGAAGGCAATACTTGTATAGATGTGAAAATGCTGGTAACTATATAAGCATGTGGATAAGTGTGTGTGTAAAGTATATACATGTTGAGTTGTTTTAATTTTTCAATCCTAGTTTTGAAATGCATTGTATTTTGGGTATATTATGACTTTGAGTGTGTGTGTACGCACACACACACACACATATATATATATATATATATATATATATATATATATATATATATATATATATATATATAAAAAGAACAGTAAAATATATAATCTGGTGTTCTTATTGATATTATTTTTACAATAGTGCTTAATGTAAATTTACTGAGCATAAATATAAATTAACTGATTTAAAATATGGTTTCTTCACTACACAGTAATAACCATGTTTCAAAAACTGAAGCTAAAACTTCAAATTTAATTCTATAATTAAGTTAAAATAATTAAATTAAAAGCATTAGTTCTGTTTCATCTTTTGAGCGAATTTTGGTATAACCTATTTTTAAATTTACTGAGTTTTAAACGCACATATAAATTCATAATTTTCTGTTTCCAAGGATATGGTTTAAAACTCAGTAAATTTAAAAATAAGTTATTCCAAAATTTGCTTGAAGATGAAATAGAACTAATGCTTTTAATTTAATTATATAATTAAATTTGAAGTTTTTAGCTTCAGTTTTTGAAACATAGTTATTACTGTGTAACGAAGAAACCATATTTTAAATCAGTTAATTTATAATATATACTTGTGTGTATATGTCCTTTAATTCTCAAGCCTCCCACTTCCTGATTTTGTTTCCCAGAATTCTCACTGCTGATTTCAGATATAGTTTCATATCAGCTCTTATAAATCAAAAATTCATGCAAGCAAATAGCTCAAATTGATGGTCATTCTTGTCTGCTTTCAACTTCATCTCTTTCCTTGTACACTTTCTGCTCACTCATAATCTTCCATTATTTATGATAGCTTCTCAACATAACCATACATCATAGTCTTCTTTTTCCCCTCCCCTCCCTCTTTTTTCTTTTTTTTGCTTTCTTCTTTAGGATGATTCTTAGAGAATTTATGAGCAGACTGGTTAAGTAGCATTTAGACTGACCTGCCTTAGAATAAATGTTCATATCACTTGGACATTTTACAAATGCAAAAATAGATAACCTTAATTAGGAAGAGGATCTCTCACTTGTTCAGCTCTTCTTTCTCTCTCTCTCCCACACACGCGCATGGCTTGAAGATTGTGTTGAAACATGAAACAGACTTCATGTTGACCTCAGTGTCCACTTCTATATTTACATACACTCTAGCTCTGATATTGAGCACTTTTACCGATAAATATAGCATACTATAAGACTATATTTTGAAAAGAACCAAAAAAAAAGGTCTATTTAATATTTTTTTTTTTTTTTCAATTTTTGAATATGGTGTTGTGTATTATGCTCGATTTTGTAGATAAACATACATTTAACTGTTAGTCATTTTCAAGAACAAATGTGATGTCTGTGCAATGGTTAGAATTCCTTTGTCTCTATTCTAGCTTTCTTTGGAAAACTGGAAGTTTATATATCTATGTAATTGTGTATGTCATTTTAAAATTCTAGTTCAAATAAATTAATAAAATTGAAATCTTTATCTTTGGCAGATCTGTTTTGGGAGCAGTTGCTCAAATCAAGAATAGCCATATTTTGATCTCCGTCTGTTAATATAGAAAAGTAGCTACTTATTTAATTTTGTGATGGATATGATTTATCAGACAAATATTTCAATTTAAACCACTTTAATGGTTACTTATAACAACATGACAAATTATGGCAGTGCTTAAAGGTAGGTGAAGGAAAATCATTTTATCATGTCTGGCATTTGAAATTGGTTGACATTGTATTTATCTTACTGCCCCTTGATTAGCTTTTGTCGTTTTTCAATATAAGAAAATATGCAGAGAAAAGAATTTTTGTTGTGTGTTGTTTCATTTTTTTTTTTTTTTTTTTGCTTCAACATACAATATGCATGATGTGCATTAGAAGTCTGGAAGGAAGGTATTATCAGTGGTCAGCAATAAATGCAATAATTACTGACAGATAGAACAAGGCTGTTATATGTATAAGTTACTGCTTGAATACTGTAGGATTTTTGTTAACAGCTGGAATGAGTTCAGCCGTCATTGGAGGTGAAAGTCAAAGAAAAAGTGTTAATTTATCTGTTTTAAATATAAGCATAAAAATGCTGGAATTAGTAATAGTGAATTCTGTCCAATTTTCAGAATGCTTTAAGATACATAATTGCTGTGGGAGGGCAAGGAGAAAAATATGAAAAAACATAACAGATCACATATTGATTAATGGGAACATTTATATTGTGTTTGTATAATGTCTGTATATTTTTGTATCTGATATGTATTCTATAAAACGTAATATTGTGTATACCTTGTGTTTATATAATTTTCATTGTTATTCCTTATATAATATTTTGAGAACATTAAGGAAATATTTATTTTTGAAGAAAAGAGAACAACTCAGTAATTACATTAAACAATTTACTAATGAAACTTGACTAAAAATAATAAAAAAAAAAAAACTCAAACACTTTTGTCAAGTTGTTTTATTTCTCTTGATTCTCTTGTCGCCATCTATTAAAATGAAAACCCTAAAAAGAAACCAATTTACTTTTCTTATGCAAACACATTAGTATTTGAGGAAATGAAATGAGTATTAGAATAACTTTATATGTTTTCTGTGTACTCTTTTTGATGTCCACTCACTTCTTATTCATATTATAATTATTTGCAAATGTTAATTGTCATCTTCAGTTAAAGGATATTCGTATGTCGCTATGGCTGATAAAGTTGAATGCAGATGAGTTAAGATTTCTTTTGTTTTTTATTCCATTTACTATCTTTCAGAAATGTATGAAAATGCTTTGTTTTTGTATTGTCTTTGAACAGACTGGTTTTTTATAATTTACACTTAATGACTTTGAAACTGGTAGACTAATTGGACTTGAAATGGCTTTATTTTCATGGTATTGTACTATGATGTGTAGTTTTTGTTATTAAAACATAGAAATCAGATCATTATAATGTACATTATGCAATATGTTAAAAGTAGAAATGAAAACCTAGACTAATTGTTTAAGAAATTTTAAAACTAAAATATTCACTGTTAATTAAAATAGTTTGACTGTAACCTATTTCATTTTGGAAGATGTAGATGTCATGTGAACATTAATTAAGCATATTGTGCAATTATACTAATGGGTGTTTATGTAAGTATATTTTGATATTATTCTTTTTTTTTATTATTTGAAATTAGTCTTTCAAAAAGATTTCATAGCAAAGGTAAAAATTGATTCATGACCACTCTACCTGCACAAGAAATCGGCACCATGGATGAAGTATAGGAGTTATAAGTCTAAGGTTGTTGGTTCAATGTTTAGTAGTTTAGCTTTGCTAAAACATGAAATTGGAGATTGAGAGATATTTTTGTTTTTATTTTATAATATAAACTTGAACTGAAGACCTGATCCAATAATTCTAAGAAGTAATTAAGCGGCTTCAAGCATTTTTTCTCCTTTTACATTGGTGTTGGGTGTAAAGTTTACTTTTTCTTTTCTTTTTCTTTTTCCCTCCTTGACTGTTTTGTTTTGATTTTGGCAGATGTACATGTTAAGAGTGGATTAGATGAGGCAAGTTAAAAGATAGCCCCCATCCATCACGCTAAGGTTTTATTCCTTTAAGTCTTTTTATCCTTGCCTCCCCAATCCTTGGGGTTCTCTCCTTCTCACCACCTTTCAGAAGGAGCCTGGCAGCAGTTGTTAGAACTGTGGGAAGATGAATTTTTACTTTTCACTTCTCCACTCTGAATAATTAGGTGGACCTGACCATTTCTTCCACATTTCACTCATATTTTCTGCAATTCTTTTTCTTTTTTATCTCTTACACGTTTACTCTCTCTCTCTCTCTTACACGTTTACTCTCTCTCTCTCTCTTACACGTTTACTCTCTCTCTCTCACACGTTTCTCTCTCTCTCTCTCTCTCTCTCTCCACGTTTACTCTCTCTCTCACACGTTTACTCTCTCTCTCACACGTTTACTCTCTCTCTCTCTCACGTTTACTCTCTCTCTCTCTCTCTCTCTCTCTCTCACGTTTACTCTCTCTCTCTCTCTCTCGTTTACTCTCTCTCTCTCTCTCGTTTACGTTCTCTCTCTCTCTCTCTCTCTCTCACGTTTTACTCTCTCTCTCTCGTTTACTCTCTCTCTCTCTCACTCTCTCTCTCTCGTTTACTCTCTCTCTCACGTTTACTCTCTCTCTCACGTTTACTCTCTCTCTCACGTTTACTCTCTCTCACGTTTACTCTCTCTCACGTTTACTCTCTCTCGTTTACTCTCTCTCTCTCACGTTTACTCTCTCTCTCTCACGTTTACTCTCTCTCTCACACGTTTACTCTCTCTCTCTCACGATTACTCTCTCTCTCTCTCACACGTTTACTCTCTCTCTCTCTCTCACACGTTTACTCTCTCTCTCTCTCTCACGTTTACTCTCTCTCTTCTCACGTTTACTCTCTCTCTCTCACGTTTCTCTCTCACACGTTTTACTCTCTCTCTCTCACACGTTTACTCTCTCTCTCTTTTACTCTCTCTCTCTCTCACACGTTTACTCTCTCTCTCTCACACGTTTACTCTCTCTCTCTCACACGTTTACTCTCTCTCTCTCACACGTTTACTCTCTCTCTCACACGTTTACTCTCTCTCTCTCACACGTTTACTCTCTCTCTCACACATTTACTCTCTCTCTCACTTTACTCTCTCTCTCTCTCTCTCTCTCTCTCACACGTTTACTCTCTCTCTCTCACGTTTACTCTCTCTCTTCTCTCTCTCTCTCTCACGTTTACTCTCTCTCTCTCACACGTTTACTCTCTCTCTCTCTCTCTCTCTCTCTCTCTCACGTTTACTCTCTCTCTCTCTCTCTCACACGTTTACTCTCTCTCTCTCTCTCTCTCACACGTTTACTCTCTCTCTCTCTCTCTCACACGTTTACTCTCTCTCTCTCTCTCTCACACGTTTACTCTCTCTCTCTCTCTCTCTCTCACACGTTTACTCTCTCTCTCTCTCTCTCTCTCTCACACGTTTACTCTCTGTCAGATTTTTTTTTCTTTTGTCATTCTCTCATCTCTTTCTGCTGGGAATATTTTGGTCAGAGATAAAGATTTCTCATTCGTCCTCCAAATTGAAGCCATACACTTGGGAATTCATCTACACGCTGCTAAGAATCCAGCCTTGACTTTTATCCTCTTCTCTTTTAATCAATATTGCTTACTCTCTCTCTCTCTCTCTCTCTCTACCTATCAACATTTCTTATTTTTCCCCCCTCTTAGAGATACACACCTGACTGTCTGCTTTCATTGCATTCTTCATATACTTTGCAATTCCAAAAGATATTTTGAATTTACCATATGCTTTAATTTCCTGTACTTATAGCTTCATCGACCAGACAAAAAGATTTTGATAAGTATTCAAAGATTTTTGCTCATCTTGCCAGTATTCCAACTTGTAGAATGACATCAAAGTGCAATCTGAACACAGACTACTTTCAACAGTGCCGCCTTCTCTACAGTCAAATTTGTACTGTTTTCATTGGCAATTTCTCAATCATTATTTCTGTGTGTGTTTAAAACTCAGCTCATATACAAGATCATGGGAAATTACATTTAAAAAAAAACAAAAAAAAAAAACTTGAAGGTTTCTCTTAATTATGATAAGTATTTTTTTACCCCTAAATTTTTCAAAATTATCCTATTTAACACTTAGGCTCCTCCCCTGATAACTAAATTTTTTTTTGTAACCTGCCCACTTTTTATATATTGGCTAGTTTATAATTTTTAACTAAACTGCTGCATAAGTAAATATACATTTTCTTTTTTTTTTTTTTTTTTTTTTTTCCCTGAATATTTGACATGATATCTCTTAAATTTATAATTTTAAATAATTTTAATTTTGAAACTCTAATTTTCTTATAAACCATTCCACTTTGTTGTACAATTTAGAACAATTTTTATTTAACCATTTTTACCAGACTCTGGAAGTAATTCAAGAATGATTATTTAGGGAATAAGGTGCATCTGGATTTTGTTTCAAAAACATTCTTGGCAGAAATGGTAAGCGTCTGCATGAATTTTACTGGAAGGGGAGTAGCAGAAGTATGAAAATGGTTATAAACATCTTTTCATATTCTACCTTCCAAGATACAACTCTCTTCTGTCCCCAACCCCGGACTTGAAAAAGAAATTGAGACTATTTCTTTTAGCTTTCTAATACAAAATAAAATACTAGGATTTTACTGATAAGCTTTAAGTCACTTATGTTACCTAAACAAAACATTAAAACAAAGTCATCAGTCTATATTTCTAAGATGAGGTATTGTAACTATTTACACTATTTGGGCTGTTGTCTTCATTCTTATTGTCAGGCACTGCAAGTGGAACTAGATTCTACCCCAGTGGACGGAATAAAGGGTTCAGTTCAAAATTCCAACATGTATCCCTGAAGTAGGCAAGAAACGTCAAGAATATGACAATAAAAATGACTACAACAGTTCAAACAATGTAAATAGTGTGTTAAAAAATTAAAAAAAAAAAAAATTAGACATGTTATCACAGAAAACTAAAATAGCTATTTGAATTTTAGCTAGGGCTGCTTGATAGATTCAAATTGAAGGCATGAATCTATATCTCCCCGTGCTCTCAACTGAAAAGTAGTCATTTTGTGGGCAGATTCTTCCCACTTCTCTAATCTATTGAAACATAATTGGAAAGGAAATGGGTACTGCCAAGAAATTCCTTTTTGATCTAGAAATGGTATGGAGGATTGATTGGACAAACAATCCAGAATGATGCCTCATGGAACCAAAAATATTCTTCAAAATAATTATTTGTTGATTTAATTTTGATTTGCTTGAATCATGTAAAATAAATAAATAAATAAATAAAATAAAATAAAAAATTGAAGCTGAAGTCTATTTTCTTTGTTCAAATGTCTTCCAAATAACAATACCTTGGTGTGTAAGGAATTCTGTTTTTTTTTTGTTTGTTTTTTTTTTTTTATTATTATTATTATTATTTTAAACATTAAAATTTTAAGAATAATTTTTATATTGCTATTCATTTAATAAATATAAAAAATGTTTGTTTTTCGTTGGGAGAGGTGAGAAAATGTTCGGCGATCTTGTGAATTCAAATAATCTGATTTTCATTTTGAGAAAATTATTTGAATGTAAAATGCTAAACTTGATAGGAAGACCAATGTCATTATAATCAATTAGAGCTTTTTATTTTCATGATTTGTTTTTATTTATCTATTTTCCCCATATACAGTGTTGTACAAAAAAAAAAAAAAATAATCTTGTAATGAATTTAAGGTAATTAATAAGTGTTCGTTCCCTACCCTGAAAATGAGTATGCATTTGAGAATAACAAAGATGTTTATTTACAAAGTTCTCATACCCTTTCTATGAGGAGAATGTTGAAAAAATATCAACAAATTTACTTTCTAAAACCAGACCACTATATATATATATATATATATATATATATATATCAGTGGTGGTTCTAGGCCATCAATGTTTGTCGGGCTCATTACAATCTTGAACAAAATATACTATTGGTATAACTTAGATGTTGAAAGGATTCCTTTACTCTAAAATATATATTTTTAAAAATTGATTGTTCTAATTTCTCAGTATCATGCCTTTGGGTGTCTCTCTTGCTTAATTCACCTTGATAACTACAAGTTTTTGTTATCTTTGAGGCCACTCTTACAATGACTGAAACATGACAGTAAAGATGAGGACAATGTTCAGAACAGTATAGTGTAAATAGCTACAATGTCTCATCTCAGAAATATAAACAGATCTTGATTGCGTAATAAAATATACACACACAAAGTTTATATTGTTTGTACATGCACAATATGTGATACATATAAATTGTGTCTATTGCTTAAAGTCTAAATGGAAATAATGATAATTTCCATGATGCTCTTCTCCATGTGCGTTGTTGTGCACATTTTTGGTATTTCTAAGCTTTTATATTTGGTCTTTCAAAATGAATTTACATTCATATAAAAATTCCTCTTTTGTGTACATAAATAGCTGTGGTTATAATGCATACAATAACAAATGTAGAATAACACGGATATAGTATTTAGTGTGTATGTGTGGGGGGGGCTGAAGTTCTGAACCCGTTTTTTTTTTTTTTTTTTTTTTTTTTATTCTGTGATTCTCTGTTAAAATATAACTTGTCACATTTGTTCTTTTGTCAATCTTATTGATTTATGACACCTGCTAATCTTTTTTGGAACAATCAGATTAATTTCTGTTGATTGTTATTGCATATTCACTATAAAGGCTTCTTAGCTTGTTGAAGAAGTAAATACCTTTGTTAAGTAGACAGCTTTGGTAGCTGTCATGACAAATTTCTATCTCAAAATACATTATCACATTCTGTCTCTCTTCCTTTTATATATGTCATCCACAGACAGGCTGTTTCGCTGTTTCACAGCTCTTCAGTGTGGCTAGACATCTGATTGCCTCAAGCCGGGATCAAAACATGACTGATTTGGTATCAGTTGGAAAATCTATCTCTAAAGCCATTGGTGCATGACAGGATGAAAGTGAATTTAAGTGTATTTATTTTTAGATGAATATGCCAGTGACTAGGAGAATTCTATTCGTTTTTAACGAAGAGTCTTAAATTAGCAGCAGTAAATCACTGTTTACAAATTTACTTGTGTGTATGTATGTATGTGTGTGTGTGTATATATATCTTCTAAAAAAAATAGAAAAAGAGGAAACTCATAGCCATTCCTTCACTATAAGAATTGGGCCAAAATTGTAAAATGACATATTTACAAACTTGGAACTTATATTTACTTTTACTTAGAAAGTTTCTCTGGAGCAGCTGCTTTACTTCTTAGGCAACAAAGACCATTGGTTACCAAGAAAAAGAAAATTCTCAAATGTAGCTGTTATATCATGCCCTGTTCATTTTGTGTAAATTCTTGATATGCTACAATTTTTATTTACATAGGTAAGTTATATTGGTATTATTTGTATATAGTATATATTATATTGGTATTATTTGTATATGGTCGAAAATAATGATACATTGTTAATGCTGCGAACTGTAGAATAAAAGGTTGGCCAAACATTAATAACAGCAAATTATAAAAAGATCTGAGCAATGTTAATGACTCTTGTCAAAGTTATAGACAATAATGTAGAAAAGAAAGACCGACCTAATCTGGGCATCTTTTACTCTTTTTTTTTTTTTTTTTTTTTTTATGATTACTTTTCAACATACAAGAAAGTTGATTGTATTTTCTGATTATATGCAGTCTTAACCTGTTTTTTCTAACTATGAGGTTTTGACTTAGTCATGATCTAAACAGAAGATTATGTCACTGCTTAGCTCCTAAACAAACGTAACATTTATTTACTTTGATCGTTTTACACATAATCTGTCTGAAATCTCTTTATCATACATACACATCTATGTGCCAAAAGACTGTTTACTTTTTGTTTTATATATATTTGATATATAGCTACTTTGTTTGGGATATATATATATATATATATATATATATATATATATATAAGACTACCTTTAAATTTCAAAATCACCCTTAAAAATCGGGAGGGGGGGTCGTCTTATACTAAAATTCAAAAATTGAAACCTTAAATTCTGAGTGGTGTTTGCTGGTAGGCTAATCTTAGATTCTGTGTGATAACCAATAATGTACATGAAAAGATTCACATTATCAAGTAAACTGATAATAAAATTAATAAAAACCATTTCTTTTATATATTATTGGCATAAATTCATAATAAATTGACTATTCGAAAAATAATTGCATATTAATGAAATTAACTTGTATCCATTCAAGCTCAGCTGAGAAAATGTAAACATCAAGTTATGATTGCATTCACAACAATCTTTATCTTTTGCTAAACTTTTAATAAAAGTAGAATCTACTATTATCGTATTGTTATTAGTGATATATTGTGATTGTCAATGAAGTATCAGTAAATGGCCATTAGTACACCAGGGTGTTAGGAAAATAGGAAGAGTTGGTATATGCAAGTGATCATGTGATGAAATGTAAACAAGACAATTGTTTCCCTTTTAGGTGACTGGTGTAGGAAAAACTCTCTCTCTCTCTATATATATATATATATATATATATATAGTTTTATTTTGAATTTCTAAGCAATACAGTAAGTAACATTTCCAATAACACCTTCATATAATTGGTAAGCGGTTGTCTTATACTACAGGTATAAGATAAATTCATGAAAATTTGCTATATTTTTTGATCTTCTCTCCTCTAAAGGTCATCTTATATGTGGCTGTGTGTGTGTCTCTCTCTAATATATATATATATATATATATATATAAATAAATAAAAGTAAGTCCATTCTTAGA